TAAAACTGAATTGTCTGATGTATTTTTTCAATACTTCTTCATTGAATGATTTGGATTAAGCTCAAAATTTTAATTTTGCTATAACTTATTTATTTATATTTATTTTATTATTGATTATTATAATTATTATTTTTTTTAAGGTTTGGATTCTTTTACTTTTATCTATACCGATTTCAGCCTTGGCAACTTCAACTGCTAAAAAATGTAATTCATATGGCAGAAAACATTATGAGAGTTTCACAAGAAAGTACATGAGGGAATTGCAGAATTTTTTTGCCCTGTTTTTAAATCAAGGTTTGTATCAATAACGAATTTAGCTTTTTTATTGAAATTTTGTAGTTTTTTTGAAGGCAAAACACGAAATTTCAGAAAAGTTTAGTTAGTGTTAATAAGAGTCGTTAATAATTGTAAACCTGTAAAAATAACTATATAAATAGATCATCTGCGTAACACGAACTATACCGCATTGTGTATTTCTCTATCATTCGTAAAACTGTTTCTGCCGAATTTTTATTTGCTCTCGTTCTTTAGTTTTTATTTTGATTCCGTGATATGAAAAATTCTACTTTAAACAGAGAATTATAAATTTTTATTTTGATTCCGTGATATGATAAATTCTACTTTAAACAGAGAATTATGCATTTTTATTTTGATTCCGTGATATGATAAATTCTACTTTAAACAGAGAATTATAAATTTTTATTTTATTCCGTGATATGATAAATTCTACTTGAAACAGAGAGAAGAAAAATTCTGCATTATTAACGATTCTTCCATTAGTTTAAAACATTAATGGTGCATATCATCTATATAATTACGCATTTTATTCAAAATAAAAATAAACATAAGAACAAGAAAAATGGTGAGAAGTTAAAATTGACGTAATTTACTAAACAAAATATGCTTATGTGCTCATTTAAACACAACATTAACTCTTTGTTTACTTATCCTTTGTTTGTTTTGTCTTAATTAACTAACATCTAAGCATTTTATAGAACTAAAATAAAACAAATAACGAAACGATAAAAAGAATAAAAGATAAAAGAACTTCATTAATTCTAGAGAAGTATGGAATGGGTTTGAAAACATATGACAGTTTGAAATGAAAGTCTGCTCCTAATGATGCTGCCATCTAGTGAAAATCAGGATACAAAAGTTTCTCGTTTTTCCTTTAAAGATCATTGTAATGAAATACATTTTTTTAAATAACTCACGCGCTATTAAAATAGATTTTATTTATTTTACTAAGAGAAAAGGAACAAAATATTGATTTTCTTTTATTTATTTATTAGAAATTGTAAAAGAAATTCTTCATGATGAAGACAAGAGAAGTTACTCTCTATTATTAAATCTCTATTATTAAAAATTTCCTCCGGGATGTTTCCCAGACCGTCGCCAATAGCCCATTGTGCAGCTCTAGTGCGACTTAAATTAACAACAACAACTATTATTAAATCTTTGAAAAAAAGATTTAACTACTTAACTTAGTTGTAATATCTATAACTATGCTTATAATTACATATTATGTAAATAATAATTACAACAATAATTAATATGAAAAAACATTAATTATAATAAATAATTGAAGTTTCATCTGACATTTAGAAAGGTTCTAATATTTTTTTATGAAACCTCTTTCAGCAGTGATTCTTATTATTTTTTCTCTCCTCTTCACTTAACATATTAATAAAAGCTTATTAGAAAGCAGAATTATCAATTATAGTGCATAAACAAACCGAAATCTACGATTGCAATCAATAAGAACACAAAAATTACACGAAAATATCGAATTACTGGTGTTGACATCTAGTGACGATTACATAAAATAAACTTGTAAAATATATGGTCTAGAAAACTAGCTTTTAATGCGGCTAGCATCTTAAATTTTTCTAACTATTGATTTATTTTTTTTAAGAAGACTATTTGCATAAAGATAGGAAAGAATTTTTTTTGATGAAGTTAGTTTTTAGTTAGTTAGTTTTGTTAATTTAAAATTTTAAATAAATCTTTTATAATGACTAAATAGTAGGTACTGGTAAATTTTAAAAGAGACTAATTACTAATTTAAATCATTGTAATACTTGTTACTGTAGTTTTTCCCGAAGTACTGTATGTATGGAGAAAGAAAAAGACTATCGTTTCATTTTGATAAAATTTTATTCTTATTTAAAATAATAAACAAATTTTAAAATCTTTAAGAGTTTACATAAGATGATTTGTAGGTATCAATGCTAAACAAATTAACGATATAAAAATAAATATTTACTTCATATACGTGCGTTTATATGGAAAATTTGTTTTTAGTTTAATATAAATGTATTTATAAGCTTTAATTGCTCATAATATTAAAATAATTTTTAATATAAAGAACTGAATTAAATTTTAATAATTTCATGTTTAAAATAAATAGTTACAATCAGGTAAATAGTTAAAATTCCTAGTCATTAAAAATTAAGAAATTGAAATTTTTCTTCAACTTCATTCCAAAATTGAAATTGTTTTTAAATTTAATTTTTAATTGCTGAGAATAGCTTTACTTCTAGCTTATTAAAGAAGAATCATTACGTTTATCATCACATATGAGAAGAAGTTGCTTAGAGTTGCGTCAAATTATTTATAACGAAAAGAAAACTTGAATACAATTTTCTTTTTCATTTTATTAAATTAAAAAAAAGAGACACTATATTTGTTTATGCAAAGTTAAAGCATAGCATAGTTATTAAATTATAAAGGTCTAAAAATGCTTGCATTAAAAAGATTTTTGGAATTTTTTTTATCAAATTTTAAATTGAAAGTATATATTTAAAGATTTATTAATTTGAAATTAAAAAAATGTATATAAATGTAAAATAAATGTTTAGTACTTGATTTCTAAGTTTAAAATGCCTTAAAAGATAGTGTGAATTAAATGTACTAGAATCACCGCTGGAGTGATCCCAGTGGTAATACGAGCTCACTTAACCTAGAGGTACCCCCAAACGCTTGGTTTATTGAGCTCGATTTTCATTAACTTTAATTTTTTTTTTATTGTTTGAAAAAAAATCAAAAATTTTTGAAAAGGCATACTCTTGGTAATTTACATCTTTGAGTATTGAGCTCAAATATTTTTTACTTATTATTTAAATGAAGAAGTTCCTTGATCGCTATGTTAAGAATAAGAAAACTTCGCGAAAATTCAGACTGTTCCTACTATTAGCGCCACGAGTGTAGTATAGCAACGGAGCGTCGCTTTTCCGAACTATTTTGGCGTGGGTGGTTTGTCTAGTATAATGTGTCTCTGCATTCATGAATTCAATTAAAATTGATAAAAGAAAATTGTAAACTCATCAATTTAATTAGTAATTAAGGATTTTGCCGTAGAGCAGCGCTAAAACCGTTTGGACCAGACGGTTGATATTTTGACGCGCATCGATAAAAAACGCGTCGTCTTTTTATATGCTCTGGCATTAGAATGGAAACCCTTTATATATTTCTCTTTGGTATAGAATTAAAAAAAGAAGCAAGTTTTGGAATGAAGTAATAATGACAACCGAGCAGTATTATGGGGTTTAATTTTTATATTTAATAGAATCGAAAATCAAATCTTTGGAATCAAGTATACAATAACATATTTCGATATCTTTAATTGAATACACTTATTTATATTGGCGTAGCAACCTGACCCCCAAGGGAAAAAAAATGGTTGCAAAACAGTCAATTAGGGGGCGGAACATCAGATCAGGAGAGACATCAGATTTGAAACAAAGGTTTTTTTAAAAAAGGAAAAAAAATAGGAGCACCTATGGCAAATTTTTATCTTAAAATCATGCATTTTTACGGCATCGAAACAACTGTATGTTTTTTATAATTTTTATTTGTAAGGAAATTAATTTTTCAGAATACAAATAAATATACTCGTGAATTCAAAAGAAAAAATTAACAAATATAATATGATTTACGGCTTGTATATACTTAGATTATTTTTTCGCACTTTATTTTCTCGTAAATGAGTTCAGCACAGTAATGTACTATTTATTGATTTTCGAATTGTATCAATAAAAATATTTTTCAGTGAAGTTGCCATTTTATAATTTGGAACAATTCTATTATTTCTTGAATTTTCAGTGAAGTTGCCATTTTATTATTTGGAACAATTCTATAATTTATTGCATTTTTTTTCCACACCATTTATTTCCAATTCAAGTTTTCATAATTATTTTTTTTTTATTTCTTCTGCATTTTTTTTAGGTAGTTTTAAACATTACTGGGACTGTTCCACCCGTATATTTATCTACCTGTGGGCTTTAGCCAAAGTGGTGCTAGGCCTCAGTTACTGTTGTACGTTGCTGTCGTTTCTAATCCAACCACTGAAACAGACGCCATTAACGACTGTCAAGGAATTGAGGGATGCTGTCGTCAGTGGTCAATATCAATTTGGAACGTTTGGAGGAACTTCTCTTTTAGCAAATTTGATGGTAATATACAGCAGTAAAAAGCACATTAACCTCTATAGTTTGAAACTAAAATTTCATTTTATAATATTAGCCATAAGTTATTTTGGGAAACGTTAATTATACAAAATCTAACAAAATTATATAAAATCAAACAATGGATTTAAATAAAATAGCACATTTCATTTTCTTGAGCAATAACTTTTATTATTAAAAATTAATTCTCAAATTATTAGGAATTCATGGATTTTTAACGAATTAAAAAGATGCTTTGGGTGAAACACACTATAAACTAAAAATGATCTAAGGACGTTATGATTTATGGGAGATAAGAGTTAAGTTCACGTATTTACCGTATATTCCGGTGTATGACGCGCACTTTTAATGCAAAAAATAACATTAGAATTTACGGGGGTGCGGTATTCGCCGAATATAAAAAATTATAGATTAAAAAAATTTAAATATAGAAAAATACTCTTATTTTAAAGAAATAACATACCTACATACTTTATTGATTTTCGTTATTACATAAATAGTTCATTATATTCGTCTTCCGTTATTTCTTCAGGCATGTCATCACAATCTGTTTCGTCTTCATCATCTGTGTTACCCTCATCCATAAATATACAGTCATCTTCTGATCCNGGAGAGGGTCTCCCTTGGTATTCTAAGAGCTGGAAGCTCTTACTGGAAAACAATGCCTATTTCTTTTGTTTTTAAATAAAGTTAAGTTTTATTGTTTTAAAAATCTGGTCTGCTTATTTATTGGAAAGGAAAGGCATTACAGAGACCATGAACGATCTCCTGCCCACGGACCTGAATTAATGTACCTACTGCAGGTGACTTGCATTTTTTCACGATATTTCGCGTTATACAATGAGCTGTAGCCGAAATCTATAGATTTGACACGATTTATTGACTTAACGGACATCAATATGAGTGGTAAAATCAAATAAAATTGAACCACTATATTGACCAGTACAAAAAAGTTTATTGACATTAGCTTACTTACTCCTGATACAGCATTAATTTTTTGACGGTTCTCGAAAAAAAAATCTTAACTCGAATTCACAATATAACGCACATCGATGAATAATAAAACGCACATACCACTATCCGTCAAATTGACAACTCTGCCAACCTACAGAAAGAATTTAGGGGAATTCCATAGGCATAACTTTTGAATTTCTCTCAACTGAGTTGTCATGATTAAAGTGGGGTTGCAACCTGTCATATTTATTTTGAAAATGGGAGAAATTTCCAAAAGTTCAGTTCGATCGAGATTTCTGGTAAGGATTCGAGGGCCCCCTGAGCTTGAGGGCCCCGGGGCACTGCCCCGCCTAGCCCCTAGGTAGCTACGCCACTGCTTATAGTACATTAACGAATCGAAATCTACGATTGCAATCAATAAGAACACAAAAATTGCGCGAAAATATCGAATTTGTTACTGGTGTTGACATCTAGTGACGATTACATAAAATAAACTTGTAAAATATATGGTCTAGAAAACTAGCTTTTAATGCGGCTAGCTTCTTAAATTTTTCTAACTATTGATTTTTTTTAAATTTTTTTTTGGAGAAGACTATTTGTGTAAAGATAGAAAAGAATTTTTTCTGATGAAGTTCGAATTTAGTTTGTTAATTTCGCTAATTTAAAATTTTAAATAAATCTTTCATAGTGACCAAACAGAAGGCACTGGTAAATTTTAAAAGAGACTAATTACTAATTTAAATCATTGTAATACTTGTTGCTGTAGTTTTTCCGGAAGTATTATATGTATAGAGAAAGGAAAAGACTATCGTTTCATTTTGATAAAATTTTATTCTTATTTCAAATAATAAACAAATTTTAAAATCTTTAAGAGTTTACATTTTATCTGTTTCGTAGGTATCAATGCTAAACAAATGAACCATGTAAAAACAAAGATTTACTTCATATATCTGTGTTTATATGGAAAAATTGTTTTTAGTTTAATAAAAATGTATTTATAAGTGTTGCTTGATTATAAAATTAAAATAATTTTAAATATAAAGAACTGAATTCAATTTAAATTTTAATAATTTCATGTTTAAAATAAACAGTTACAATCAGGTAAATAGCTAAAATTCCTAGTTTTAAATATTAAGAAATTGAAATTTTCCTTCGATTTCACTCCAAAGTTGAAAAATTTTTTAAATTAAAGAATTTTTGTTAAATTTTACTTATAGCTTGTTAAATAAGAATTATTAAGTTTAACATCATATATGAGAAAAAGTTGCTCAGAGTTGCTTCAAATTATTTATAACGAAAAGAAAACTAAAATGCATTATTTTTTATTAAATTTTTTTTAAAAAAAAGGCATTACATTCGTTTTTGCAGAGTTAAAACATATCATAGGTACTAAGTTATAAAGGTCAAAAATTGCGTACTATAAAAAGATTTTTGGAATTTTTTTTTTATCAAAATTTGAATTAAAAGTGTATATTTAAGGATATGATAAATTTGAAATAAAAAAAGTATATAAATGTAAAATAAATGCTTACTACTTGATCTATAAGTTTTAAATGCTTTAAAAGATAGTATCACCGTTGGGGCGATCCCCAGATACGAGAGGTTTAATGAGCTCGATTTTAATTAACATTATTTTTTTTATTTTTTTTACTATTTGAAAAAATAACCTTTACATTAAATTTTTAGAAAAGGTATACTCTTGGTAATTTACATCTCTGAGTTTTGAGCTCAAATATTTTTTATTTATTATTTAAATGAAGAAGTTAAGCATTTTGAGTTCTTGATCGCTGTGTTATCGCAAAAATTCAGACTGTTCCTACTATTAGCGCCACGAGTGGAATGTAGTAATGGAGCGTCGCTTTTCCGAACTATTTTGGTGTGAGTGGTTTGTCTAGTATAATGTGTCTCTGAATTCAATTAAAATTAATAAAAGAAAATTGTAAACTCATCAATCTAACTAGTAATTAAGGGTTTTTCCGTAGCGCAGCGCTAAAATCGTTTGGACCAGACTGTTGATATTTCGGCGCGCATCGATAAAAAACGCGTCGTCTTTTTATATGCTCTGGCATTAGAATGGAAACCCTTTATATATTTCTCTTTGGTATAGAATTAAAAAAAAGCAAGTTTGGGAATGAAGTAATAATGACAACCGAGCAGTATTATGGGGTTTAATTTTTATATTTAGTAGAATCAAAAACCAAATCTGTGGAATCAAGTATACAATAACATATTTCGATATCTTTAATTGAATACACTTATTTATATTGGCGTAGCAACCTGACCCCCAAGGAAAAAAAAAATGGTTGCAAAACAGTCAATTAGGGGGCGGAACATCAGATCAGGAGAGACATCAGATTTGAAACAAAGGTTTTTTTAAAAAAGGAAAAAAATAAGAGCACCTATGGCAAATTTTTATAATAAAATCATGCATTTTTACGGCATCGAAACAACTGTATGTTTTTTATAATTTTTATTTGTAAGGAAATTAATTTTTCAGAATACAAATAAATATACTCGTGAATTCAAAAGAAAAAATTAACAAATATAATATGATTTACGGCTTGTATATACTTAGATTATTTTTTCGCACTTTATTTTCTCGTAAATGAGTTCAGCACAGTAATGTACTATTTATTGATTTTCGAATTGTATCAATAAAAATATTTTTCAGTGAAGTTGCCATTTTATAATTTGGAACAATTCTATTATTTCTTGAATTTTCAGTGAAGTTGCCATTTTATTATTTGGAACAATTCTATAATTTATTGCATTTTTTTTCCACATCATTTATTTCCAATTCAAGTTTTCATAATTATTTTTTTTTTATTTCTTCTGCATTTTTTTTAGGTAGTTTTAAACATTACTGGGACTGTTCCACCCGTATATTTATCTACCTGTGGGCTTTAGCCAAAGTGGTGCTAGGCCTCAGTTACTGTTGTACGTTGCTGTCGTTTCTAATCCAACCACTGAAACAGACGCCATTAACGACTGTCAAGGAATTGAGGGATGCTGTCGTCAGTGGTCAATATCAATTTGGAACGTTTGGAGGAACTTCTCTTTTAGCAAATTTGATGGTAATATACAGCAGTAAAAAGCACATTAACCTCTATAGTTTGAAACTAAAATTTCATTTTATAATATTAGCCATAAGTTATTTTGGGAAACGTTAATTATACAAAATCTAACAAAATTATATAAAATCAAACAATGGATTTAAATAAAATAGCACATTTCATTTTCTTGAGCAATAACTTTTATTATTAAAAATTAATTCTCAAATTATTAGGAATTCATGGATTTTTAACGAATTAAAAAGATGCTTTGGGTGAAACACACTATAAACTAAAAATGATCTAAGGACGTTATGATTTATGGGAGATAAGAGTTAAGTTCACGTATTTACCGTATATTCCGGTGTATGACGCGCACTTTTAATGCAAAAAATAACATTAGAATTTACGGGGGTGCGGTATTCGCCGAATATAAAAAATTATAGATTAAAAAAATTTAAATATAGAAAAATACTTTTATTTTAAAGAAATAACATACCTACATACTTTATTGATTTTCGTTATTACTTAAATAGTTCATTATATTCGTCTTCCGTTATTTCTTCAGGCACGTCATCACAATCTGTTTCGTCTTCATCATCTGTGTTACCCTCATCCATAAATAAACAGTCATCTTCTGATCCGTCCAGATTATTTGAAATGCTGCATTTTTTTAATGATTTTCTAACCATCTCAGGCTTAATTTCATCCCATGCTTTTAATATCCATTCGCACACTGTTTCCAAACTTGCATGACGCATATGTCCTCCTTTCGTAAAGGTTTTCTCGCCCTCCAACATCCAAGTGTTCCACTGTTTTTTTAAATTGGCTTTAAAAGCAGACGTCCAATGGCTGAACTAATGGTGTCAATCCGCCCGTAATAACTGCCATATCGGTGTTACATTCATTCAACAATTTTTTTGCATTATCTGTAAGGTGGGACCTAAACATGTCCCACACTAAAAGTCTTTCTGGTTTTCTATAGATACTAGACGAGATATTGCACATGTACAATCCAAATTTTCATGCGCGTTATACGAAGAGTATATCTTAAAATTTAAAAAAAAGTTATTAGAAATTACGGGTGCGCGTTATACGCCGGGTCGCGTTATTCGGTAGGTTAAGCGCAAGCTCAGTAGAGAACAGAGATGCAGATCGCAGTGTTAATCACCACGCTCGGAACCTAAGTTCATAAAAATTACAAGTTAAAAGTCATCGGCAATAAACTCCTAATATCCTATGAAAACAGTAAAGTTTCTTACAAAGTTGGGCTAAATTGTTAATGACTACTGTTTATGAATTATTATCCTCATTTCAAGAGGTTTATAGTTACAGGCAGATACTGTAATGTTAAGTTTATGCTTTAAAATTTGAAAGTAGGAGTACGGTACGGAGTGTCTGAAAAGTAATGGGATGCATGCAAGTGAAATAGAGTTGGTTGTTGAAACGTAGTAGTTGTTTACGTTAGCAACTGTTCTTTCCATTCTATTTCGAGCACGCCAAGCCCGCCAAGTAACATTTCTCTTAAGTGACATATTCTATATTCATTCACAACTTTACAGAAACTTGTTTGTTAGTTACTGTACTGAAACAGTTTTATTACGTTATTACGTGATTTTCCGCTTTATTTAAACTATTATATAACCTCTTAAAAATTTAATGCAACATTTGATATAATTTTATTACTTAAATAAACAAAGATTTTAAGACTTTTCTATTTCATTTGCATATCTTTATAAGACGATTGTCTAGATAAATGAAAAAATTAAAATAATGAAAAATCTACCTTGAAAAATCTACAATTTAAAATTACGAGGAAGTTCAATTTGATTCAAGCGAGTATCCTTTTAAGTAATTGTATGGAATCTAAATATCTTATTATTTGAGTCTGGGGGATGTGACGAATATGTATATTGTAAAAATACCGGAAAAAGGTTTTGATAAATTCAAATTTTTTTCGCCATTTTTCAAAGCTCATGTCTCAGGAGGTTAAAATACATGCTTTATGTTCTGGGAGTTTTAAAAATTTCATACATTTTTTCGAAAGATTAAAAAATAATAACATATCCTGTTGAACCTTAAAAGAATTGATATTTCTAATAGGATGAAGAGGAAGGAGTCTTGAAGGATTTAGCTGATCATATAAGAAAACATCCTAAAAATATTCTTGGGGAATTCGAAAAGGCCATGGAAAGAGTGAAAAAAGAAAAATTCGCCGTGCAAATAATGAAACTTCATTTTATGATAAAAGCTAGCAGAATTGGCCTGCATGATTTTTACGTGCCCTCAGACACTATTGGATTTAACTTAGTCAGTATAGCTTTCAGAAAAGATTTTCCTCTGATGGAAGAAGTTAATATGGTGTGAGTGGTTTTCCTAATTCAAACTATAAATAGTTCCAGTTTTAAGTTACTATTTTTTTTATTAACACACTTTGGTGTGGCTGAGGGTGTAATTTTTAAATCGAAGTTCCCTCCCATTCCCGATTAGTTAGAAGCATTCACATCTCTATTGAAATTCCTCTACTAGAAAATTTTGTGCCTTCGGATGCTATAGGATTTAGTTTACTATATCTTTCAGAAAAGATTTTCCTTTCATGGAAGAAATTAATATGGTGTGAGTAGTTTTCTTAATTCAAACTGTAAATAATTTAAGTTTTAAACTACTAACTATTTTTTCATTGACACACTTTGGTATTCCCGAAGGTGTAATTTTACAATCGAAGTTCCCATCCATTCCGGATTACTTAAAAGCATTCATATCTCTACTGGAATTTCTTGTAAGAAGACAATGCAAGTTTCAGTCTTGTTTTTTTTTACCGCTACATGCATAATGTATCGACACATTATTGTAAAAAAGAATTAAGCGCATTAATCGAATTTTCGATTACTTTCTGACTTGTTTGGATACTAAAATTCTTACAACTTAATCTGATCTTACTACTTCGCCTTCACGATTACTTATTGCCTTAACGTCTTTCAAAAGAGAGCGGCCAACTTTTTTTTTATCTCAGGTCTAGCAAAATAATAATAACAATTATTATTATTTTACCGAGAAGTTCCATAGTCATTCTTCTGCCATTTTTGTTAGCATGCCTGTTACGTATAACAATTGTTTTAACAATGATGCCGATTTCCCTAAGGATGATGGGGATTCAAATATTAAATATTCTCTTAAATATTCAAATCTATAAAAATAAAAATAAAAGTATGTGTATGTGTGTGTATCTCTTTCATAACTCCAGAACCAGGAGGGGCGCTTGAAAAATTAATTTTCCTATTTGTTTAATGTTAGGCATATGCTATAAATTAAACTGTTGACTATTCAGCTATATTTAAATATTTTAACAAGAACATCCGTAATGCTTGGTTGCATACATTTCCATATATTTGAAAACGGAGTTTGTAGCAAGTTCTTTAATTATGTTTTGTTCGTCATGTCCAGCAAACTCATCTATCAATATGGATGTTAGGTGAGGGCTATGTCTCTGAATTACTATTCCTTAGATTAACCAATTCCAATCAATGGAGGTTGGGAAAAAAAGGCATGCACTAAAAAAACAAAATTAATGGAGACAATTGCTCAACTCTGATAAATCGTGACGATCAAGAGTTTTTGAACAGATCTTTAAAAAAAAGTTAACGGTGATAATAAATTTACGTTAAAGCTAATAAGAATTTCCTATTATAAATTACCACTTTAACATATAAAGTATTAGTGGGGCAAAATACTTAATTCAAATATATATTATTTGAAATATAGCATATAATAGTACTAGTTATAAATGTATTAAATGTTGGAGATTATTTTTCTTATTGTAACCAAATTTTTAAATTGTTAAAGCCTGTGCGAATCCTATATCATGAGTAGGCCATAATTAATGGCATTATTTTCAGTGCTGAAAAATATTTAACGCTATCCTTTATTTTGAAAAGCCAAACCTTAAAAAAAAAAAAAAAAATCGTGCTTTGCTTTTTTTAACAAATTTAAGTCCCCAGAAAGGTTAGATAATATTAATTAAATAAAAATATAATTATTCAAGGTTCATTAATAACGTCTTTATGTATCTTTCAGTTTTGTACATAATTAACACCGATTTATTGGTTATTTACCTTCTTTCTTACCCTGAACAAAATAAGAGTATTATTAACATTTTAAGACATGTTGCTTGAAGAGCAACGAATTCACGTCTTTACGAATTCACCGTCTAAGTGTGTTTTAATAAATTAGATTTACTTGTGTTTTTCAGAATTCATCGCATGGTAGAATCTGGATTGTATGTTAAGAAAGTGCAGGACTTATTTTTCAAGGCGAAACTTAAAGGTCCGCTTCCAGAACCAACAAATGCTCACAGACCTTTATCCATTTTTGATGTCTATATGTTATTTCTTGTCTTAGTTACCGGTCTGATGCTGTCAACATGTTGTCTGATATTAGAAGTTGTGTACAATAAATATTGGACGTCCTTATGAGAATCAAAGTTGCCTTCATTTACGAAACTTTCCAATAAATTATTTCTCTTGCAATTTTTTTATTTTATTTCTATCAATTTTTCATAAAATGGATTTTAGGCAATTGAAAAGACCACCTTGTATTTTCGAACAGAACTATAAAAGACTAATTTCTATGTCAATCATTCAGATAGATTTGCTATTGGAGAAATTTTTAACTAAAATTAACCCGCATTTATGCGACGAGACAGTTTAATCCACAAAAGTATTACACGATTAGCGCTACGTCATTTAGGACTCCGAAACTCATAATACTTCACCAGGAGATATTTTTTTGTCAAAATTGTAGCTAATCTGATACATTCATTCCTCCTCACCCTTTCAGAAACCAGTGTTAATCCACCAAAATATCCCATGGTTAACTCGTTATCAATGGGAATCTATAACTTTATATCGTGTTATCCAACTTCCACAGAGGATATTTTATGAAAATTTTTTTCCTTTCGCATTACGATGCCCCAGCAGGGCCGGATTAACCTATAGGCACACTAGGCACGTGCCTAGGGCCTACGAAATTTAAGGGCCTGCGAAAAACTTGGGAGAAAAAAAATTTTTGACACAAATAATTTAACTTTAAAAACAACAAGTGTATTTTGCACAAACCAGACCAGGTGACCAGACTCATGTTTTCTTAAATAACCGTCAGCCATTTTAGATTTAATATCACCAAACAATGAATGCAAATCCAATTGTTGACTATAATTTATGATCCTGAAAAATATATATAAAAAACATTGGTCAATTGCTAAAATGACTCATTTGAAAAAACGTGACTAACATTTTATTAAAATAGTATTAAATCATTTTTTTTTCTATTAGTAAACATTTAACCTACCTTGCAAATTTATTTATAAATAATTTCAAAAGATTTACTTTTGACAATGTTAATTTCCTTCACTTAGTTATCATAGTAGTATCATGAAAACTATGAAGCTATTTGTAGTATAAATATTTCTTGTAATTAATCTCACTATCAATTTCACTGTTTTCTTTGCTGGTTTGTTGTTGTATTGTTGACGTGAAGTGTTTACATAGTTATCGATCGAACTAATCATAATGGTATTATCGATATCAACTGCAATATCGGCAGTATGTCGGTATTGCAGATAAAGTTCGATAAACAAATTTGTAAATTAAAATCCATATTAATAAAAATGTAAAAAAAAAAAAATATGCAAGACAATTTTAGCATATATTTTGAAAAGAGGGGAGGAGTGGGAGAAGGAGGGGAGGGCCTAAAAACGGCTATGCCTAGGGCCCACGAAAGGTACAATCCGGCTCTGTGCCTAGGGCCTACGAAAGGTATAATCCGGCTCTGTGCCCTAGTCATTCAAAAGCATTATTTAATCCACAAAAAACTACACGGTTAGCTAGACGTCTATGAAATTCCGTAATTAATTATATTATCCGATTTCCGTGGGTAATATTTATATTGAAATTGTAGTTAATCTGAAATGTTCATTCCGCATGGTAATTCTTCAGTCATTCAAAAATCAGTATTTAATCTCCAAAAAAAAATCATGATTAATTCGACGTCAATCAGACTATGTAACTAGACGCCCAGCTAGACGTATATGCGTAGGCGTAGCGTCAGGGGAAGGGTAGCCCGTGCCCCCTCAATAATTTTTCAAAACTTCAGAATTTTTTAAAATTTCTTTAAAAAAAGCACACAAATAAAAAAATTAAAATTTAATATTGTCTGCATTTATTTATTAGCACATTTGCATTTGCGGTGACCCCTTTTGAACCATTAGGATTAAGTCCTAGAATGTAAAGATCTGATCATTAGAACTAAAATAATTCAGAGAGGCTAATTTTTTTTTCACTGTACACTAATTGAACGAAAGTGGTTATTATTATGGTTGAAACTGGTTTTACCACGGCTTTTTTTTAAGTTTAGAAAATAATCAAAATTCAGACTGGCCATGGTTTTACAATATGCCCTTGTCCTGAATACATTACAGAATCCGGCATGTTCAATGAAGGTTTCTAATTAATGCTAATATAATAGTTATTATGTCCTCTGTTAAATACAGAAAATTACTCTTAAAACTAGAGAAATTTATTAAATCTTCTCTATTTCTTTCAGAGTTTTAATTTTAGTATACATATATTCTAAATAATAAATTTTTAAAAAAATTAAAAGGAGAAAGGAAAAAAAAAAGTGCTGCTTCAAAAATTTCTTTTATGCTACGCCTATGTCTGTAACTAATTATATTATCCGACTTCTGCGGGGGATATTTTATATTGAAATTGTAGTTAATCTGACATGTTCGTTCCGCATGGTGATTCCTCAGTCATTCAAAAAGCAGTATACATTAAAGTACGTCAATGTTTCAATACGTCAAAGTGTAAACATGGCTTCGACGTCAATGGGATTCTGCCTGACTTGCATACGATTCGTAAACAACGAGATTTTTTTTTATATATGTTAATATTGTGGTTAGCTTGACATAAATAGCTCAGAGAAGTATAGGTCTAATATGGAACGCCTATTGTAATTAAATGGATTATGATGAAATTTTCATTAAAAAAATTTAATTCAAGTTTATAGTATTTATGTATCCAAATTTATAGCAATAAATTGATATCAATAAATATAATCATAACTTATATATCTTATTTAACTTCGTATCCTCTAAAATTCAAACAGCGCATCGCTAAAGCGAAGTAAGTTTCGCAACAAAGCATACGTTTTTTATGAAGTTTCACGAAACATTAATATTTTAATAATTAAAGAACTTAATAAACTTAGACGAATACAATGTGTCCCACAATCCACAGTTGATGTTTAATTTTGTAATAATATTCATTTCTGTTTAATTATGCATACTACATTCATATTTCATTTCATATTAAATTTTTTAAATCAAAAATTATCTAAAATATCAAGATTCAAGTTAGAAATCCTTTGTTTAGTAGTTCCCTTCTATTATTATTGCAGCAGAGATAGTGAATTGATTGGTATGTTAATAAATGAGATTCTATTATAATTATGTGATGATGGCTTTCAAATTGTTATAGTAAAATTCAATAGATGGCAGCACTAAAAAAATTTTCGGCTTTACAATCAATACGATTTATTGAATTGATTATAAAGCACAAAATATTCTTAGTACTGTTATTAATTGGATTCTTCGATAACAATACGATAACATGTATACCACGTTCTTTATAATTAATTTTAGCGTCGAATAAAACTTTCTCAGGGTTTCATGAAAGTTAATGGTGTTTTGAAAATATATTTTTATGCGGTTATTTTCAGAATTTTGAAAAAAAAAAGTTAATAATGGAATTTAAAAAAATTGAAATCTAAACAATGAATAACATTAGTTACATCGTTGCCATATTAAATATAAACTAGGAGGCTCCGCCCCCTGCTCGCTAACGCTCGCCAACCCCCGATAATTGCTACGCAATCCTATGTGGTTCACGCCGTGAACCATGGCTCGCTGCGCTCGCTCGCCAATGAACACAATGTTCTAGCACAAAGACATAATATATTATCATCAAAGACATAGTATTTTATCATCAAAGACATAGTATTGTACTTATGTAGAAGAATTCTACCAATGTTCTTATTGGCTTTTAAAAAAGTATATTNAATTTTTGCAAGTTGCAATCGCGCAAACTGGCATTTCGATAATAGTTTTAAATTCTTGTAAATTCACTGCAAAAACTGAGGAAAGTCATTATAGAAAATAACAAATGTCTTAGAATATCTCCCAAAAAGAAATGATCCAATATTAGTTAGAGCTAGTAAGGCCGAACGCTCCGTTCTTGAAGTAAAAGTGCGAGCTTTGCGCCAAAGTGACGTCACTAGAGAAAATAGGAGGATTGGCGCGGCGAGAGCTACTTCAAAGGAGTGAACCAGCCCTTTTAAAAGTGTCTCAATAAATTAGATTTACTTGTGTTTTTCAGAATTCATCGAATGGTAGAATCTGGATTGTATGTTAAGAAAGTGCAGGACTTATTTTTCAAGGCGAAACTTAAAGGTCCGCTTCCAGAACCGACAAATGCTCACAGAGCTTTATCCATTTTTGATGTCTATATGTTATTTCTTGTTTTAGTTATTGGTATGATGCTGTCAACATGTTGTCTGATATTAGAAATTCTGTATAATAAATATTGGACGTCCTTATGAGAATCAAAGTTGCTTTCATTTACTAAGCTTTCCAATAAATTATTTCTTTTTCAATTTTCTATTTTTATTTCGATCAATTTTTTACAAAATGGATTTTAAATAATTGAAAAGATTACCTTGTAATTTCAAACTGAACTAACTCTAAAAGACAAATTTCTAGATAGATATACCATTGAGAAATTTTTGATTAAAATTAACCCGTATTTATGCCACAAGAAAGTTTAATCTACAAAAATATTACACGATTAGCACGGCGTTATTTAGGACTCTAAAACACATAATACTATCCGACTTCGCTAGGAGGTATTTGTCAAATTGTTGTTAATCTGATGTAATCATTCCGCATGATGATGCCTCACTCATTCAAAAATCACTGTTAATTCACCAAAATATCCTATGATGAGCTCGACGTCAGTGCAATTCTACTTGACTATCATATTATTCGTATACAACAGGAATATTGTTAATATTGTGGTTAGATTAAGATAAAACACTTAGTGAAGTATTAAAGTAGTCATATAAGGAACGCCTATTGTAATTAAACGGATTATTGTGAAATTTCCATTAAAAAATTTAATTCAATTTTATAGTATTATGTATCTAAATTTAAAGGAAGAAATTGATATCAATAAATAGTTTAATCATTTCTTATATCAGGTAAATCTTATTTAACTTCATAGCCTTTAAAATTCTATCACCGCATCGATAAAGAGAAGTAGGATTCGCAACGAAGCATATGTTTTTTATGAGGTTTCACGAAACATTAATATTTTAATAATTAAAGACCTTAATAACCTAGCCGAATACAATATATCCCACAATCTACAGTTCTTGT